CCCCCCCCCACCCTAGTTCCCCCTAAAAATTTATTAAAACACCCCTGTAAAAACATTCTCAATTTAAATAATTTCAACAATTTTTTGTCCCTGACCCCCACCTTTATTATTTTTATAGATAACTTAAGGTGGCAAACACACCTAATACTCCTTTCTTCTCCTATTTTTCTCACAATAACAACCCTGTGAGGTGAGTCCGGTTGAGAGAGAGTGACCGGCCCAAAGTCACCCAGCTGGCTTTCGTGGCTAAGGCGGGACTAGAGCTCACATTCTCCTGGTTTCCAGCCTGGGGTCTTCGCCACTAGATCAAACTGGCTCCGCTTTCACTTTTACTTCTTAGACTAGCCTGGGTATTTCTTGGTGGTCTCCCAACCAGAACTAATCGGAACTAACTGCATCAGCCTAGATTGACCAGGTATTGCGATGGGTTACTATTGAACTGAGTCGTGTCCTGCCCATGTCTGGAGTGTAACCCTCAACCACACCCTGGAGCAAGGACTGAGGCTGCTGCGCTCTGGACGGGGCTGGGCTGCACAATCCCACAGGGAAGGTAAACGAAGGCAGAGCTGCAGAGAGTCACAATTTCCTCCCTTTTCAGGGCCCTGGTCTCTACTACATTGATGACAGAGGAGCCCGGCTGAAAGCCCCTCTTTTTTCCACGGGAAGCGGAAACACGTATGCCTATGGAATCCTGGACAGTGGCCACCAGCCCGATCTTAGTGTGGAGGAGGCCTATGAGCTCGGCCGAAGGGCCATCTGCTATGCCACCCATCGTGACGCCTATTCGGGCGGGGTGGTAAACAGTATGTTTCCCCAAGCAGCCACTGGGTTCTTTAGCCCATGGGGGGAGGGGCAGAGGCTAGTTTTGTACTGTCCCTTACTGACCTGCCGGTGTCTCGATCCTCCAGTGTACCACATGAAGGAAGATGGCTGGATCCGTGTCGGGCGGACGGATGTCAGTGACCTGCTCCACCAGTATGTGGAGGAGAAGAAATGAGATGGGCAGATGACCGCAAGCATGGAGATCTTCTGATACTCAGGGCTGACAGAGAGGAAAGGGATGGGGGACCGTCCCCCCTGTCTTTTCACGGGGCAACAATAAACCGCATTTGAGCTCGTTTTTCTTTTGGCTCTGATTTGTAATTTAAAAGTGGTCTGGATGTCTGAACGAGAATACGTCTCTTTGATGGTGGAAAATAAAATTGGTACTATTGGAAGCTCCCATTCTGAATCTTTAGAACAGGGGTCTCCAACCTGTGGGCCGCATCCCACTACACAGTCCGTATCCTATATACGCAACAGGGCCGTGTGAGTGGCTGGCTGGTGTGTGTGCATGTGTGGGCACAACCCCACTCGTGCAAGCATTGGGGGTGCTCACAGCCCCACTCACATTAGCATTGGGGGTGCTCGGGGCCTCCTTCACACAAAGGTCGGGGGCACGCGGAGCTCCACTAGTGTGAGCGTCGCAGGCACTTGCCTCTCTTATGAGTGTTGTGGGTGCTGGAGCCTCATGCAAGTGTTGTGGGTGCTTGGGGACTCATGAGGCCACTTGGGACTTCACTTGCACAAGCGCCGGGGCTTCGTTCACATGAGCGTTTCCGGCCATTCCCAACCCCATTTGTGCAAGTGTCGTGGGTGCTCGGGGCCTCACTCATGTGTCACGGGTGCTTGCTTGAGGCCTCATTCACGCGAGCAGCATGAGTGCGCTTGGCCCCACTCGCGTGAGCAATAGATACTCTTGCACCTGCCCCTCCCAGAAAACCATTCTCTCTTTTCCTCCCCTCCCTCTCCAGGCTATCAACCTGGAAAGGTTGGGGAACCCTGCTTTAGAGCAATGACCCCCAACCTTTGGGGCACCAGGGTCCGGTTCTGTGAAGAGAGGTTTCTCCACAGACCCGAGGAAGCATAGTTTCACTTGCTGCCTGCATCCTGTGTGGATGGGGCTTCATTTGTTTACACAGGCCGATTTCTGGTATGCTGCTGTGGAAGGAAAAGTCTTCATCATGGTTCAGTCCAAGCTGGGAATAAACAACATGGCGACTGCTTTAGAAAGAAGGTTGCAGTTTATTGAAGAGGAGAGCAAGACAGAAAGATGGCTCTGGAAGAAAAAAGAGAGAGCACATATAGGGAGTGGGTTTTTATACCCTCTGGGGCTCTTAAGGTTGTTTCCTGTTCCTGTTTGAGGCTTTGTATTTCCTGTGTCATGTATTTTGACCTGAGTCTGAGTGTGCCCCTTTGGCATCTCTTGTGTTAATCCTATTATGACCTGTCTTAAGAGTTTTAGGTGTCTTTGTCTTCTTAATCTTCTAGCTTAAACCTTCCTGAATGGATTATTACATCTGCATTTCTACAGAGCTGGTTTCTGCCTGGGGGAGGGAAACTTGGGGCTGTTAAGAAAACTGGGTATGCTTTTCTACCTCTGTAAGATCCTTTGAGGAAATATATTTTTCTGCCCTTTTAATATTTCCTTCTGGGGGGGCTGACTTTCCACACTGCGAACTGATGCGGGTCCACAGACTGGGGGTTGGGGACCCCTGCTTTAGAGGGAACTCAAATTTTATTCCTACCATGCATACACACACCACTCCCAACTGCACTAGATAGGGAGTTTTCTACGCAGATTCTGCCCACGGATTTCCTGGCAAGTTGCTCAAGCGGCACTCCTGACAAATTCAAGCATGCAAGGAAACGCTGGATCGCAACTTAAAATAACCCATGTTTAAAAATTGAATGCAGGTTTGCAGGATGTTGGCAGTCAGAGGGTAAGCAAGTGGTCAAAGAACACGAGGCAGAGAGCAGGAATCTCTCTTTGGGGAAAAGTAAATGCGAATCCCTCAAGAATTATGATTATAAAGATGCATTTTTAATTATGTATAATTTGTTCTTCACTTCTCGTTCCTTAGAGGATTCAAGGGATGTTTTCATTGAAGGTGGGCAGAGTTAATACTTACACCCAGAGTTATAATAATAATAATAAAGTTGGTAGGGACCTTGGAGGTCACCTAGTCCCCCTGCTCAGGCAGGAAACCCTATACCATTTCAGACAAATGGCTGTCTAGTCTCTTCTTTAAAAAATCCAGTGTTGAAGCATTCACCGCTTCTGGAGGCAGGTTGTTCCACTGGTTAATTGTTCTAACTGTCAGGAAGTTTCTCCTTAGTTCTAGGTTGCTTCTCTCCTTGATTAGTTTCCATCCGTTGCTTCATGTCCTGCCTTCAGGCGCTTTGGAGAATAGCTTGACTCCCTCTTCTTTGTGGCAGCCCCTGAGATATTGGAAGACTGCTATCGTGTCCCCCTTAATCCTTCTCTTCATTAAACTAGACATACCCAATTCCAGCAGCCGTTCCTTATGTTTTAGCCTCCCCTAATCATCTTTGTTGCTCTTCTCTGCACTCTTTCTAGAGTTTCAATATCTTTTTTACATCGTGGTGACCAACACTGGATGCAGTATTCCAAGTGTGGCCTTACCAAGGCATTGTAAAGTGGTATTAATACTTCACGCGATCTTGATTCTGTCTCTCTGTTCTGCAATTCTCTTCCAGGAATTTCAATTGCTGGGTTTATTAAGGAAACACTTTGAATTGTGACAGGATGCCTGAATGGAGCAAACAAATAAATTCACCCCAGGTTCTTTTTTATGTTTGGAATTTTAGAAGGTTTTAATTTAATTAAGGGATAAAACAGATATCTGAAGCATAGTGACTGTCTCACTTCCTTCCTGAGCATCTCCCCAATTTGTCTTTGGCTCCACCCCTTTTGTGAAAGCTGGGGGGGGACATGAAACACACCCCGGTTGTGCTCCTCAATTTACAGCTGAAATGGAAGAGCAGGTGTGATTGTTGTAAACATCCACCAAGGAGCTAAGATAGTAGAGTGCCAAAAATATGGGATAATAGGATTGTTTCTGGGCAGGAGAAGGCGATCAAAAGTTTTAATTTGTTTATTTGTTCCCAAAAGAATGGGCAGCTTACAATGTGTAAAAGGATACTTTTAAACATTAACTGTCTGGATAAAACTACAGGTAGTCCTGGACTTATGACCACAATTGAGCTCAACATTTCTTTGGCTAAGCAGGAGAGTTGTTAGTCAGTTTTGTCCCATTTTATGACCTTATTGTTCAGTTACTCTGTAAAATAAAATCAAAATAAGAGAGATCAGGCGTTTATTAGGCTTGCACAGCGGAACGCGGGCGCTATCTGGAGGTCACCGTGCTGGTAGAATAGCTTAAAATTTTATTTAACGGGTTAAGGAGATTTTTAGAGATATTGATTGATTTAATATTTAGGACCTAGATTTATAAAGGAAATGAAAATTAATTGTTAGATTATAGTTTTGAATTGTAATATGGAAATGGGTTTGTGACACTGAAAGATATTTTATTAACAAATGAGGAGCTACCAGGACGAGAAATAGAATATATTTGTGAAATAAAGTAAGAATCTAATTTTCGGAATAATATGTGTATTCTAGACACGATAATTATTTGGTAATGAAATGAGGGAAATTAGGGTTACCCGAAGTTTAATTATTATGGTTATTAATGGCTAAATTGGAACATGGTAATTGGAATGAAGTAAAACTTAAAAAACAGGATTTGGATATGTATAAGTAAAATTGTACTGATAAATGTATTGATTGATTGAGCTCTGTCTAGAAATGTATTAACTTGAATATGATATAAAAATTAAGGGAAATAGGGAGGGAACTTTTAATGAGGTAACCTGAGATATATATATATATATATATGAATGATTCTGTTATTGGATTTTTGATTACCCTATCACCACGCTGCTTCCTAATTACTTGGATGTAAAAATGGAAAAATTAATAAAACTTGTTTTTTAAAAAAAGAGAGAGATCGGGCGTTTACTAGGCTTGCACAGCGGAACGCGGGCGCCATCTGGCGGTCACCAGGCTGGTAGAAGCGGGGAGGAATTTCCCTTACGAAATCGAAAGCAAAAGCGCCGCGTTGGGGGATTTTCGGCTCTGCGGAGGTGGCGGTGAGTGCGGCGAATTTGGGGGACACAGAGAGAGAGAGAGAGAGAGAGAGAGACAGAGAGAAGCTCAGCCCGGCTCGGCTGAAACGAGGCTTCGGATCGAGAAGGACCAAACGCCCGCGACGGAAGGGCTTTCCCGGCCGCGGCAGGAAGGTGAGAGGCTGGGGAAAGGGCGGAGGGTTGCATTGATCTGGGCGACTGAGCGGCTGCGGAGGTGCGGGGGACTCCACTCCCCATCATTCCCATCTAGCCCGGCTGCTCATTGTTGGCTGCGGATTAGGGGGAGCGCAGTCCACTGAAGTAGCTGCGTAGTCGCCTTCGATTTCCTGCCTTCTTAAGAACTAACCCGGACGCGTTTCCTCTTGCTTTGCGCGGGATCCAAACTTTTGGGGTCCTCTTTTGCGTCGCGCCTCTACTCCGGAGGATGGGAGCGGGGTTCAAATCCTTACTAGCCTAAACCAGGGGTAGGCAACCTTGGCTCTTTTGTGACTCATGGACTTCAACTCCCAGAATTCATAGCTGGCTCAGGAATTCTGGGAGTTGAAGTCCATGAGTCATAAAAGAGCCAAGGTTGCCTACCCCTGGCCTAAACGAACCGACCTGGATATTCAAACGCTTCTGTCACAGTTCTGGGGTTTCTTTGCCAAGGAAACGGAACAAAGAAGCAGTCTAGAATTAAGGAGAATTTTCCTAACGGTGGGAACAATTAACCAGTGGGAACGGCTCGCCTTCGGAAGTTGTGGGTGCTCCATCACTGGAGGTTTTTTAAAGAAGAGACTGGACAATCACTTGTCTGGAATGGTATAGGTGCCCTGCTTGAGCAGGGGGTTGGATTTGATGACTTCCAAGGTCTCTTCCAGCTCTGTTATTCTTATTTCAGCCTTCATGAGCAGTGCTGGAGTGCCTGTGGGAACGGAGAACATGAGGCAGAGCGGAAAAGTGTCCCCTAACCAAAGAAACCTAAATGACTGTGAATTTGATCTTTCCCCAAGGTGCCGCATGACCTGCTGCACTCAGAATAAATATTTAGGCCAAGGAATCTGTTGCTGGGAAGTCAGCTGATTAGATGTAAGATCTTGGGTGGTACAGTATTGGGAGACAGTTTAGTTGAATTCCTTCTCCTTCTCTTTCTCTTTCTCCTTTTCCTCCTCATTCCCTCCTCCTCCTCCTCTTTCCCCCCTCCTCCCTCTTCTCTTCTTTCTCTCCTCTTCTTTCCCTCCTCAACCTCTCCTTCCTTCTCCTCCTCCTCTTCTTTCCCTCCTCCTCCATCTCTCCCTCCTTCTCCTCCTCCTCCTCCTCCTTCCCCCTTTCTCCCTCAAAGGCCTTCTGCAGTGATCCTCCTCTTAAATCCATAATCCCTGGATTCCCATAAACAGTAATCCCTCCCTCCCTCTCTCTGTCTCTCCCCAGAGCCCGTCAGCAAGATGCCGGTCCCTGTCGTGTTTCAGGCAATTCCCCTGCTTTTCTGCGACCGAATCCTGCTCTCCTTGCTGAATGGATGGAGCTCCTCCCTGGTCCCCTTGGGGGTCTCAGCGGCTTGGCTGGAGGCCGCTCTCCGACTGCTGGTTCTCTTGGGGGTCAGGGGCCTGCTCTCCGTGGGTCGGACCTCCCCAATGTCCTTTTGCACGGTGGCTGCAGTCAGCATCCTGCCCCCTTTGTACCTGTTGGTGGGACACTGGTTTGGGGACCCTCCCCTCCTGGTCTCTTCGGCTGCTTGGTCTTGGTGGCTGGCAATCTACGGGGCGGTGGGCTTCTCCCAGCTCCTCTGTGGGATCCTGGCAGAAGGACGAAGCCCAAAGGAGTCCCGGAAAGAAGACAAAGCCACCCTTTGTAAGATGCTCAAGCTCTTCTGTCCAGACAAGCTGTATCTCACTGGCGCTTTCTTGTTCCTCGTCCTGGCGGTGATTGGTGAGTTGGTCCTGGATTAAATCATTCTCTATGTCGTAGGAGAAATGAAGAGAATAGAATAATAATTTTATTGTCACCTTGAATGTACACTAATCGGCATACATTAAAATGAAATTTCATTGCGTACAGCTCTCAAAGAGTCACCACCTCCGATATTCACTACATAAATATGCCATAAATAAATACAGAATTATGCATAGACCCACATATATTATATGACACAGAGAAACAACAGCCTGGTTCGGGTTATGTATACATGTGCATGGCGAGAAAGGCGAATCTTGTGAGAACCACAAATAGTCACCAGGGCTGCAATCACCCCATACACTAAAGAAAATAAAATAACTCAGTCGCACCAAAAGGTCTTTAATAGACCTGACCTCAGTCTTTGAAATTCTGCTGCTCCTTTTGACGTTCTCCCTGAATCCCCTCTGATTGATTCCCTTCTTGGTTGCCTCCTGCCACGGAGCAGTTCCTGCCCAGATAAAATGTGGAATTCTGGAGGCTTCGGCTGTTGGCTTTGAACTTGCTTTCACCAGGGTGTGTCCTGTTTTCCAGGATGAAAAGAGATATGGACAGGAAGACAGGATCTTCCAAACTCTCCATTCAGCCCTTTCAGTGTCCAATTCGAGCATCTTTTCTCCCATTTTGAGGGGCTGCCCCATTCTTTCCATAGTTGGGGAGGGAACCCTGGATCAAAAAGCTCATGGTTTCCTTGCATTTCACAGAACAGACATACAATTTACAGTGTGTGTGTGTGTGTGTGTGTATTAAGCTGCCTTTCCTGATTAGAGGTCCTACATTACCTCCTCTGTTCTTGCCCCCCCCTTGCAGGTGAAACATTCCTGCCCTATTACACCGGGCGTTTGATTGACATCCTGGGCACCAAATATGACGCAGAAGCCTTTTCCACAGCTATCTCTCTACTCTTCCTGATCTCATTTGCAAGGTGAGCTTATTCCAGGCCCCACCAGCACCTTTGCTGCAGCTGCCCTTAAATACACACCCAGGATTACGGTTCTGTTGTTGCCCGGCGTCTTGTTCACAAGGCAGTACAAGGGGTGATCCCGTTGGATGAAGTTGCCTTCATGGAGATACTGGGGCATTTTTTTGCCAGCTGTAAGGAAGCTATTGACTGTTGCCTTCTTTGGGGATGGTTTTTTTTTTTTTTACTTCCTAGTGCAGTGATGGCGGACCTTTTAGAGACCGAGTGCCCAAAAACTGGCCCCTGGAGGCCACTCACCACCTCCAGGGCCCGCTGCAGATCGCCCAGGCAGCCCAGCAGCACTATGGCGGCCACGCCCTCTGCCTGCGCCCCGCAGCATCGACTGTGCATGATGGGGTGTGAGGGCAGAGACTTGTGTACGCTGCCTGGCTGCCATGTCCTTGGCTGTGCTGCTCCGCGTGGGCCACGCTCGGGGGCGACTCTCCTCCAGGGGGGCTGTTGGTGAGGAGGGGGTCACGGGGGGAGGCAAGGCTGGGGCAACAGCACGTGTGCCCACAGAGTGGCCTCCGAGTGCCGCCTCTGGCACCCGTGCCATAGGTTCGCCACCACTGTCCTAGTGTAACCTCTGCTCTGGGATTTCCTAGTGGCCTCCTGTCCCAGTGCCAGCCAGCTTTGATGCTGCTTGTCTTTTTGAGATCAACTGAGCTCAGCCAGATCTCTGCCGTAAATGTGGTTTTGATCTTGGCTTTGTCAGTTGTTGGGTCCCAAAGCTGCTTACTCCAGGGGAGGTGCTTTTTCCCTTCTGGCCTGCCAGTGAAAGGCCAAGTGAGGCCTAAAAGAACTGAACCCACCCAATGTTTTAAGACCTCAAGAAAGATCTGAAAATTAGGTTGTTCTCTGGAGTCCTCCTGAAGCAAACCTTAGCCCTTGTTTTTTTCTTAGCTGCTTGTTTTGCAACCTGGCAGAAGTCTAGCCAGTTAAAACTTGTGATCTATCCCTTGAATACAAATCTGAAAAAACAAAAACAAAAAAAGCTTTCTAAAGCAGTGTTTCTCAACCTTGACAATTTTAAGGCATGTGGACTTCAACTCCCAGAATTCCACAGCCAGCATTGCTGGCTGTGGAATTCTGGGAGTTGAAGTCCACATGCCTTAAAATTGTCAAGGTTGAGAAACACTGTTCTAAAGGAACATCCGTTCTTGGCTGGTATCAGGGATCTTGTCACTGATTTAAATTCAACATGAAAATGAAAGCCGTTTCAAAATGGAGGGAAGAGCGTCAGAAGTAAGTTAATTTCAAACGGTGGGATAGATCTGTCCGAGTGAACATTTCTTTGCTTTTGCACCCGGGTCAAATCCGGTACGTGCTCATACCTGGAGCTGTGACTCAGTTTCCATTGGTGAAGCAGGAACCAACCCTCCCCCCCTTGCTGTTTTTTCTTTCTAGCTCCGTGTTTGGCAGCTGCCGTGGGGGGCTCTTCATGTTCACGATCTCACGGATGGTTATCCGGACTCGCAACTTACTCTTCTCTTCTCTGGTGCGGCAAGACCTGGCCTTCTTCCAGGAGGTGAAAACAGGTGAGGGCCCAAACAGGCAGCTGCTGTTTCTGGAACTGTCTAAAGGAAAAGAGTCTCTTAAATGAAGCTTGACTAATGACTAGGCCAAGGGTAGGCAACCTTGGCTCTTTTATGACTTGTGGACTTCAACTCCCAGAATTCCTGAGCCAGCATGGCTCAGCTTGGAAACCTCTCCCTTTCCCCTCAGCATGGCTGGCTCAGGAATTCTGGGAGTTGAAGTCCATGAGTCATAAAAGAGCCAAGGTTGCCTACCCCTGGACTAGGCAGACCATTCATTTAATATTTTGGGGGGGAAAGATGGAAGTGCTTTACCAGTGCCACTTTCTGCTCCCTCCTTCCCTCCCTCCCTCCCTCCCCCCCCTCTCTCTCTCACACACACACACAGACACACACTTGGGATTTCCTGGTGGCCTCCCATCCATGTATCAGTCAGGTCTCATCTTAGCCTTTCAAGCAGAACTAATGCCATAGCTGGGCTTTGCTTTGGGATAAACTCTGCTCCCGGGGACAACTTGGTTGCAACCGTGTTTTTCCTTACCGGCCCTAAAGACGTGTCTTCATTTGACTTTCTTCTGGGATATTCTTTTTCCCCCTACCTTTTCAATCCAGTCTGCTCTCCTAGTGGTCTCTCATTCAAGTACTAATCAGATTTAGGCTTAATCAGCTTTTTTTAAAGATCCGCAGAAGTTGGCTGCGAGGGAGTTTTTAACCTGCCCAAGAGAATGCAACCTTTGGCTGATTTAAAACAAAAAAACAAAAAAAAAACGAAGCTCAGTTGTCAGTGGGACAACTTGCCTCCGGTCCGGAAGTTGTGGGTGCTCCAACACTGGAGGTTTTTAAGAAGAGATTGGACTGAAATGGATTTGCCTGAAATGGTATAGGGCAGGGGTAGGCAACCTTGGCTTTTTTATGACTCGTGGACTTCAACTCCCAGAATTCCTGAGTCAGCCATGCTGAGGGGAAAGGGAGAGGTTTCCAAGCTGAGCTATGCTGGCTCAGGAATTCTGGGAGTTGAAGTCTATGAGTCATAAAAGAGCCAAGGTTGCCTACCCCTGGTATAGGGTTTTCTGCCTGAGCAGGGGGTTGGACTAGAAGACCTCCAAGGTCCCTTCCAACTCTGTTAGTCTGTTATTATTTTGAAAAGGCAACTGGACTGTTTTTTTGTGGTTTTTTTTTTTTTTTTTTGAGGAAAAACAAGATGTTTCACTTCCTATCCTGGAAGCTTCATCAGATGTATGGAATGTTGTGAGAGATGGAAGGACAGTAATTGACAGTTGAGATTAATGGGGGGGAATGATAAATCCTGAGAGGATGGTGACGGTGGGGGAATGGAAAGATTGTGGTTTTTCTTTGCTGTCAGTTGGTCTTAACACTCTCTGAGAGCCAATGTGGTCACTTGGGGTTTTATCTATGACCTCAGGGTCACCTGAAAGAGGGAAGCGGAATCTCCTTGGAACAGTCAAAAGGATTGCATTATAAATTGAGGATAAGTGGTGTCTTATCCTTCCTCCTCTGTTGAGGGAGGGCTGCTCAATGTTTACATAAATGGCCTCTTTTTTGTTATAATCTTTTTATTCATTTTTTCCATACATACAGTAATAATTTTTCAACCAACGTGCTGTCTGAGTTTACATATGCTAATACATATTTAATTCCTAATCCTTTATTCTTTCCTCTAGCCAGTAGTAAAATAAATTTCGGACAGCCATTTGTCCGAAATGGTATAGGGTTTCCTGCCTGAGCAGGGGGTTGGACTAGATGACCTCCAAGGTCCCTTCCAACTTTATTATTATTATTATTATTATTATTATTATTATTATTATTATTATTATTATTAAATGCCACGTTTGATAATAGTCCGTTTCTTCCTTTTCTTTCAGTCTCATAGTCAGTCTGTCCATCTCTGCGCATTCTAGTATTTTTTTAATTATTTCTTCATCTGATGGTACTCCTTCATTCTTCCAGTATTGCGCAAATGTAATTCTTGCCGCTGTTGTAATGTGCAAAGTCAAATATAAGCTTTGTTTATTAGTCTTTTCTGGCATTATACCTAATAAAAAAAGTTCAGGTTTCAAATCAACATGTTCTCCTAACACCTTTTCGAACCAAATATGTATCTTTTCCCAATAGTTCTTTGCTTTTTCACATCTCCTCCAAACATGATAATACGTGCCTGACTTGTGTTTACATTTCCAACATCTATCTGACATATTTTTAAACATTTTCGCTAATCTTGCTGGTGGCAAGTGCCATCTATAGAACATTTTATATAAATTTTCTTTATAGGAAGTTGACATTGGATATATTATATCCAAAATTTTTCGCCCATCTTATCATTGTTTCTTTAACTTGTTCATCTTCCAATTCCAAAGTTTACCCTCCTTTCAAACCAATGGTCCTCTATATCAGGGATCCCCAACCCCTGGTCTGTGGACCGGTACCGGGCCGCAGCATGCCAGCAACTGGTCCACACAAACAAGCAAAGCCCCATCTGTGGGATGCAGGCAACACACAAAACTATGCATTCTCTGGTCCGTGGAAAAACCTTTCTCCACGGAACCGGTCCCTGGTGGTGCCCAAAAGTTTGGGGACCTCTGCTCTATATCCAAGTTGTGGACTTTGTTGTCTTCAAAAGAATGACCCTTATATTTCAAATGCAGATGGGTCCTGAATCTGGTCCTGTGTTATGCCATATGTTTATGAAGTGGTGGTTTTGTTTCCCCAATGTACAGATCTGTTTTTGTACGCCTTGTTTTGCCTCAAAAATCAGTCCAGTTGCCTTTTCAAAATAAAAACCACTTTTGACACAACTATGATCTGGATAACTTGAGAATCTTCACAGACAGTTATTCTGATATGTTCCTTGAATAGGAGGCTTACCATGAAATCCTAGGGGCATAGCCTGGACTTAGGTGGAAATGGTGACTTGTTACAAAGAGGATACTACATCGTCCGATGCCACATCAGTGACTTTGCCCTCTCCTTCCTGTGGGGATTGTTCCCTATAATCTCCCTCCCTGTGTTGCCAGTGTGGCATTTGTTGAGTGATAATCTCTTTGCCCACAGGAGCTCTGGCGTCCCGCCTTTCCAAAGACACGACTATGATGAGCCGCTCGGTGCCACTCAACACCAACATCTTCCTGCGCACCCTGATCAAGTCCATTGGGCTCTACGTATTCATGATTGGCCTGTCCTGGCGCCTGACGCTGCTAATGCTGATCGAGACCCCACTCATGATGGCCGTCCAGAAGTTCTATAATGTCCGTCATCAGGTAGGGATCATGGAGGCAGATGGCCGCCTAGAATGGTGGTCATTTCTGGGTTTCTGAGACCAACTGCATGTGGGGAAGGAATCCCAGCTTGGGTGAGGGAGGGAATGGGCCAGCTCAGAGAAAGGAAAAAACAAGCCAGAGAGGAGAAGAAGAAAACTTACCAAGGCATTGTAAGGTGGTATTAATTACAGGGATTCAGAAATAAAATATAGAACAAAGTTTGTTAGAAATAGACAGGGCTGTAAAATGAGCAGGACAGCATTTTTTTTATTTGTAAAGGCAATAAATAATATATAATTAATACACTGTAATAAAAATTTCCCTCACTCTGAAGGGAGACAACATGGAAAAAATTGATGATGCTGAATTTCTTGGACCCTTGGTTCAACCCAACTCTTATCTCAGAGACGCTTTTTCCAAAAGGCGATTGGACTTTTTTGCATTTTTTTTTCCTTTTGAAAATGTTTCACTTCTCATCCAAGGAGTTTCTTCAGTTCTAACTGGGGGAATGACCTACCAGTCAGTTAGAACTGAAGAAGCTCCTTGGATGAGAAATGAAATATTTTCAAAGGAAAAAAAAAAACACAAGAAAGCCCAGTTGCCTTTTGGAAAAAAGCACCTTTGAGACAACCGTAACCTGGATGATTGAGAATCTCCATAGACAACCCAACTTTTAATTAGCGTAAATGAAACCCCCCCCTTCCCAGAAATAATAATGGGAGGGTATACCTCCTTTTCTGTGTCAAGCTTGAAGCGTGTGTGTGATATTGCTACCATTACTGCTTCTCAGCTTGCCAACGCACTAGGGGGGAGGAGAGGGGGGTATGGAATGCAGGCTCCAGATAAGAAGTCAAGCCGTGTGAACCAAGGACGTTTCAGCAGGTGTTGGCCAACCCACAGAAACACTTTCTCATAATAACAACAACAACAACAACTTTATTGTCACTTTGAATGTACACCAATCGGCCTACATCAAAATGAAATTTCGTTGCATAGAGCTCTCAAAGGGTCACCACCTCCGATATACACTCCTTGTTCGTGGCCAGCTCAAGTTACAGATCTTCCATTTTAGTCTCTAGGGAGCAAAAGATGGCAAACAGGACAGATGGAAATGGAGCTCCATGTGGGTTATCCCTCAAATTAGCTTGTATTCCTGCACGACAACCTCGCCTCCTTTCCTTTTTCTGATCCTGTCTCTTCCATCTTTTCCTTAAAGAGGCCTCGCTTCTTTTCACCCCTGGAGAACGCGGCCACCGCCACCAACTCCTCCAAAAGCCTCTCTCCCATCCTCTGGGCCTGCCGACAGCCTCCTCTAGTTCCTTAGCTCCATAAGCCCTGGGACCTCTCCTCCTTGGCCTCCTTTGGAAACAGCCCTGATTTGCAATAGAATCCGTCGCTGGGCCAGCAGTCAGATCTTGCTGCTGGCAGAGCAATTTCAAACAGCGCCAATGACTTTTAACGGTCTCACCAACAGTTCCGAAACAGCTAAAAACTTGCCATGCCAGCAAAGATTGTCGGTCATATGTTGTATGTTACCTTAGTTGCACCACGTTGCTCAAAAGCATAACAATAACACATAACAATATTTTGACAATTGCTTGGACAGTGTGACCTGCACTAATAGGGGGAGGGAGAATTCTGTATTTTAATTATCGTGGTTTGCGCGGGAAGTAACCAGAGCTGGTTTTTGCTTTCATTTGTGCCAAAATGATGTACTCAATAAAGTTTTGCATTAAGAGATTGGATCGTCTTGTCGGTGCGTACTCAGTTGGGTTCGTCAGTCAGAACCTTGACATTCTGGCTTGCACTTAGGCATCCAGTCGCCTGCTAGTGAGAAATAATTGAAATAAAATAGAGGGAAGTGGAGTGAAACATTTTTGGAGTCTCTCCCCTCCAAATGAGGCCACTGGATTTGGGTTTGGGTATCACCACCACCAGCAAGATGCCTGATCCAAGGTCGCTTTCAGGAGGCTCATTTTGCCGCTTCCTTCATGATCCACCCAGGCTTTACTGAAGGCGATCCAGGACTCGGTGGCCCACTCAGAGGAGGTGGTGCATGAGGTAATCTCCTCCGTGCAGACGGTGCGCAGCTTTGCCACTGAGGAGGAGGAATCGCAGCGCTATGAGGCGTCCTTGGAAGACACCTGCCGGCTGAGGAACCAAAGAGACTTGGAAAGGATCGTTTACTTATTCGCTGTACGGGTAAGTCCTCTAGGACTCGGGGGGTCTCCAACCTTGGCAACTTTAAGACTTGTGGACTGCATGGCTGGCTGAAGAATTCTGGGAGTTGTAGTCAAGTCGTAATGTCGCCAAGGTTTTTTTGAATCCTAGCAACCACATAAAGTTTCTCCAGGATGATCTATCTCTAGCCTGTTCTTTCAAGTCTCCTAATGGTGCATTCATCTGAAATGGTACCTATTCTGTTCTGTTCTATTTCTATTTCTATTCTATTACTGTTTCTATTACTATTACTATTACTATTACTATTTCTATTTCCATTCCATTCCATTCCATTCCATTCTATTCTACTCACTATTCTGTAACTGAATCCATTTACCTTGCTGCTGGTCATCCTCTTCCACCTTTCCTGTCATTGGAGCTTTTGTCAGGAAGCAGAGTGCCCGCATAATGTGTCTGAAGTAGGACAATTTGAGTCTATCATTTGTGCCTTGAGTGAGAACACTCGGTTTGTTTTCTTGACTGTCTGTAATATTCTCAGGAGTCTTCTGTGACTCCACAGTTAAAAACTGTCAATACTCTTCCTATTCTTCCTCTTTAAAGTCCAACTTTCACTTCCATAGAGTATCACAGGGAATACTACTGTGCTGGACCAGTTATGTAATCATCTGGCCAGAGTATATACTTGAGAATTGTGTTAGAAC